GAGGCTTCACTGGCTTCCTGAGCCAGCAGCCTGTGCGGTGGCACTGGGCCCCATGAGGAGAGGGGCTTGGCATGGGTTAAGACTCTGCCTGTGGCATCTCAGTGGGTGGGAGTGTGGGCTGAGGAGGGAGGCAGAGTGCATGTCCCAGGGTCCTCGCTGCCTCATTTATCTATCGTTCATAAAGCCCGTGAGCACAGAATTCCATTTAAAAAATGTAAATGCCATAACACAGAAAGTGCACATTGAACAGTGAAATCACTGTCACTTATGTGGTCTTGGATTGATTTTTTTCAGCTGGAGAAACAATTTCCATTTATATTAAAGTCTGGCTGCCCTGACCCATGTGGTCCTCTGCTGGCTGAGCGTTGGCCCTCAAAGCGAAAGACTGTCGGTTCAATTCCTGGTCAGGACACACGTCTGGGTTGTGTACAAGAGGCAACCAATGGATTTTTCTGTTCATCTCTTTCTCCTTCCCTATCCCTCTTCCAAAAATAAATAAATAAAATCTTTAAAAAAAAGTTTGGCTGACAAACGTGTTCGAAAACATGAGGAAAAGAAGAAAGAAGAAGGAGTAATAATAATAATAATCCACAAGTCAGGACAAGCTGAGAACCATTGTGGCTCACACCCTCTACCATCAGAGAGGACTGGCGAACTACTTCAAAATGGGCTAGGGAACCAGCAGAGCAATCTCTCTGAACATTTCTTGAACCTCTGTAACATCCTCAATCCTCAAATTTGTGGCATTTTACAGTAAAGCTCCTTAATCCTTTAAAAAGGCCATGTGCATATCCAGGGGCAGCGACACAGGGAGGTAGAAGCTGTTCAAACATAGTGGCACTCCTCTCCAAAGTTGTGTGCTGGAAAGGCACCCAAGGGGGAAAAGGGTGCTTGGCTGGCCAGCAGGAGACCACATACCCTCTGATTACTGACGGGAGATCTGTGTTTAGACACAATTGTACACCGGGTACTGCCTGTCGGGGCCCCTTCTCCTTACGAGCCCTTTTTCGAACGGTTCATTGTTGTCAGCAGACATTTTGGTGCTCCATGCCCTCTACAAAGTTGAGCTTTCCAGGCTTAATTCAGGTATCTGTACATGAGGCAAGGAGTTACAGATCATTTCCTTCATTTATAGGATGCGAAACAGAGACTTAGCGAGATCATGTAACCCACTGCCGTCACAAGGGAAGAAGGGGAGAGCTGACACCCTTGGCAGGACAGCGTGGCCCAGGACTTGGCTCTCTGCCCTTGGCTGGCACTGGGTTTCCTTTCTGCCTCTGGGCTCCCACTGTGGCTGTGGTGAGTGCCACACAGTGTGCACTCAGCTGCTTTCCTCAAGAGTGAGTTTAATCTCCCCAGCACCTGGGTACTTGGAGGAGAGGGACCCAGACTTTACATGTTTCTCAGGCCTGAAGAGTCAAGGCTCCAGCAGGCAAGTGGTGAATTTGTGTGTATTAATGCTCCCCGCCCCAACTCTGTCTGCTCTGCGGTGTGCTGACTTGTCAGTATATACTTTATGAAGCGAGGAACCCACAGGAGTCAGCCAGAGCAGGGACACGTACAGAGCAAAGTCAGAGGTCCGAAGGTATTAGATAACAAGGATTCTGATCTCCTTGATTCAGAATCCTTATGTCTCTTCTCTGTACTTCTCTCCAAAGTCCTCCTCCTTAAGCAACCAATGAAACAACCCAATGAGAGAGCCAGGCCTCCTCCTCCACCCATGCGTATACTATTATGGAATATAACAGTATGTTGTTACTGATTATTTATAGACTGTGGAATATTCTATAAATAATAAATAATATTCTATATCAGATAACTATAGTATAGTATACATTGAACGTACTGGGGTACTAACTCCCTTGGGGGTTAGTAATGGTGGTGGTGAATATATACTTTGTGCCAAAATCCTGGGAACAGCGCTGGCCATAGGAGCCATCGCACTGCTGTCTGTGAACCTATATACACAAGAGACAACATGGGAGCTATTTCACATGGAGCTGATGTGGCTGCTGTACATATGGGTCAGGGTGAGCCATCCCACTGCTGTCCTCAGAAATCACTTGGAGAGAAGGACTCCCATCCTCTGCCAGTTACTCAAGAACCACAATGCGGAGTGGACATGTCCAGGGCAAGAGGTATCTCTGGGCAGTTTGCCTTGGAACACACCCAAGGGAGGACGGGCACAGCCACCCTGCGTGGGCAGCTCTCGTCATCAGCATGTGGCTCAGCCACTTGGCGGAGAGTCAGTGTGTCCTCCCTCACACGGGCTCCCACGGGCTTCAGAGTCTCCCACGTACTCCTCATTGCAGCACTGTGTGCAAAATCTTTTCTCTATTAACCCTGACCAAAACCCCAGGAAATGAAACCAGTTAAAAAAACCATATGACGAATTCCACAGCCAGGCAGAAATGATCTGTGGGATAACCACTTCTGGTGTCTGAAACACTGCCTTTGGTCTCCCTTGAGGGCCGAGTGTGAGTTACTGTTATTTGAGCTTGGAGTTGAAAAGGCGCCTATGAGTCTTCTGATGCAACAGTTTCCTAGTTACTAGTGGGAGGGCACTTTCTTCAAAAGAAATCCTGCCTGGAAGCCAAGCCATAGCTCAGATGAACTCTGAGCTGTTGGTGTGGGGGACTCAGGGCTGGCCTGTGAAGCCTGTTCCTGCCTCAGAAGCTCCTAGGAGCACGATTTGAAAAACATGCAGCCATTTCCCCCATATTAAGTTATTCCTTCACTAACACAACCTTTCTCAAGCACCCACTACATTCCAGGTGCAGGTGAGCCAGCAGGAAACAGGACGAGGGAGGCCCTACTCTCCAGGAGCTCACAGAGGGGTCTGGGGCCCGATGGAGCAGACGAAGTTCAGGCAGAATTTCAGAAGGTGGTAAGTGCAGTGAGGGAATTAGACTGGGCCATGTGACATGGCCAGGAGGTGGCTACTTCAGATTGGGGACCCGAACGTCCTCTCTGAGGAAGTGAAACATGAGCTGGGAGCAGCAGGACAATGGAAAGTTGCCTTGATTCTGAGCAGTGAGGAAGGACAACAGAAGAGGTGAAGTGACTTTCCTCAGGAGGAAGCTGAGCTGGGACCTGACCCAGGGTTTCCAGGCTTCCTGCCAGGACTCTTTGCTTTCACAAGGTTTACCAAATAGCTACTACATTCAAAGAAGTCTCGTGACAGGTGACACCACATGGTGCTGTTCAGTCTGTTATGACTCTTGACACCCTCCCTGCCCTCCTCAGCTCTTTACAGTGTGGGGGCTCTGTAATCCAGAAGACAGAACCCTGCAGTTGACACCCCTGACCTGTGACCTGGTTGGGAAGGCTTCCTCCTCTCCTGTCTCCGCGGCTGAAAACTTCGGAAAATGCTACTTATTGCTCCATTGTTGGTATGATGATAAAAGCAAGACAGCAGGGGCAGCCTTGTGGGGGCCGTGAGCAGGGCAGCAAAGTATCCTGGAGGAAGGGTCCCTGGACCTGGTGCTGCTCTAAGGGCTCTGACTCAAAGGCCACCCAGGCCACTTTTCCCCTTGTGCTGCAGAAGGGCACTCACACGAAACTACGGCACCACACAGGCCTGCGTGTGTCTCACATACGGAATCCAAAGTGCTTCCCAGGCAGATACTCCTATTATGCGGAATGTCACAGGGAGCACCATGCAAGTGACTCCCTCTGACCCACAAACCAAACAGCTTCAGAGCCCCGAGTGTTCCCCACATCTACGGTTCGGCACCTGTGGGCCCAGCATTCACCTTTGCCCTCTGAGCCTTACAGCTGTCAAAGCACCTTCCAGGCTTTAGCTAATTTGAGCCTCATGAGGTGGTCAGGACAGTGGTTATTAGTTTGCACACAAAGCAGCTGAACCCCAGAGTGACCTGTGCTGGGACCACTGCTACTAACCAAGTAACAATCACTGCATTTTGGTTCAAACCCAGGTCTCTAGACTCCAACTGCGATTCTTTCCACCATAATCCAGCTGCCCACAAGTTCAACACAGACCATCCCACTCTGGCCAACACCACCCTCATTCACTTTACCCTTTGCCCCAGACGATACTTAGGAGCTTTTCTAGACACTGACTCGTTTCTCCACGTGCCCCTGCCTCACCGTGTGTGCAGACATGCCGGGGAGCTGCGGAGCGGGCTCCTGCATACCCAGCAGCTCAGACCCACGTTGAGATGCTCTCCTGCCGGGCCCAGCGGAGCCTCCTCCCTTTTACATTTTTCCAGCCTGTTTATGCATGTGCACACTGGACACACCACTGGTGAAACCGAAAACAATACACTCCAGAATCTTCTACACCTTCCTTCTTTCCATACCAAACCAATCAACTGCACATGCAGAAGCCGGCAGGCAAACACAGATGGCAGCCTGCAGAACCCTGTTCCCTAAAATACACAGCTGTGCCCAGGGACTCCTGGACAAACCTGCAGAGGCAGACAGCCAGCTGAGGCCTGTGTATACATGGGGTACACCAGCTGCCAGCATTTAGCAACCACTGTTTTGCATGGGGAACAAAGACGAACATTGTATAGTTTCAGTTAGGATCATTCTGGATCTGTCACCTGGGGATTAGCATAAGTGCCAGACACTAGAATTCAGGGTAGACAAAGAGAATAACATTTGAAGAGGGACAGACGCTCACGGAGCAAGGTGGACAGCATAAGGCACCAAGAGGCCCACAGCTCTATCCCAAGACTTGTGTACAGAAATCAGGAGCACAGGGATGGACACAAACGCTGGGGACCCTGTACAGATGCCAGTGCACACACACAGCCATCCTGACTGTCCCCGGGATTCCTGCCCCCACTCTTTATCCGAAGTCAGCTTGCCCCTTCCCTCGGGGCCGTGAGGTCCAGCTCCAGGGACCAGACAGGGCAAGTGGGGTGCCTTCTCCCCGCGCCCCGCTAGCCTCGCCGGGACGCCCCACACTCCGCCTGCCCCAGCCCCCGCGGGCCCCTCCCCCTTCCACCGGGAGAGCGGTGCACTTCACTTACCTGCGGAGAGCAGCAGGGCTCAATTCGCAGCCCAGGGAGCAGTGCCTAGAGGCGGAGCGGCGGCTCCTAGGGCCGCCCCTGCCAGCACACCCCACCGCGCTCCCGACCTCCCACCGCAGAAGGTCAGGGTGACGGCAGCCGCCCCGCCCAGCCCGGAGCCCCGCGGGCACTTCCTGCCCGCCAGCCCCTCCGCTGCCCAGCCCGCTTCCCCGCTCGCGCGGCGCACCCCCCTCCCCCCTCGCGCCCCCTCTAGTTCCCAGGCTCGTTCTCTCCCAGCCGGCCAGCGGGCCTCCACAGAAGCCCTGTGCGACGGAGTGTTTGTTTTGGAGATGGCCTTTTTTCAATTCACAGCACACAGAGCGAATTAAGCTGGAGTTAGGAGCAGCTGCGTGGTTGCCTGGGGGATCCTTGGTAGGAGCGGGTGGGATGGACTGGGGGGTCAGGCGGCTTACAGATCGCCCAGTCTGCCCGTGGCCTCCTCTCTTGCTCTGGGCGTCTCTCAGATCTTGCTGCCCCCTGGGTCAGCCCCTGGTGGAGCAGGAAATGAGCAGGGTCCTGGGAGATGCCAGTCCCAGAGGGCTCCTGGGGACTCTAGGGACTAGCCTGTCCGATCCCCAAAAGCCTTCCTTCTTCTCTTTCTCCCCGCCACGACCAAGCACTCCCACTCCCCTGTCCCTCTGAGAGACCTACTGACCATCAGCTTTACATTTCCTGGGCATAGGGAGAATCAAGATCTCTCCCTAGACTGGGGGAGAAGGAAGACTAGGCCCATCTGTCTGCCCTGTCAGAGAGCAGGGCAAAGCTGCCTCTAACTGGCTCTCTTCTAACGGTGGGGTAGGCATGTGTTATTTCCCAAAGCAATAAAGGCCTGTGCTTATCCAACCGTGTTCTTTCAAAACTTCACTGCAGTGAGCAAGGTTACCCATTTACCAGGTTGTTGGGTCAGGAAAGCCGTGGGAAGCAGGGGCACCAGCCTTCTAAATACCTGGGGCTGCTGAGAAAGGATTAGCGGGAGGACTGTGAAGTGGGGGTCTTGAAAGATAATGGCAATAGTGCTGGACTGTGAGAGGAAGATCTGCAAAGGGGGGGATGAATATGGAAGGTGCAATAGATGGTTGTAGAAGGAGGGGTGCAGGGGGGTCTCAAGAAAGAGGACTGTGGTGGTGGTGTGGGTATGGAAGTTGGAGGAGGCCCTGGAGAGATGTGACACTGAGAGAAGATGAGATGGAGGGAGAGTGGAGACAAGATAGAGAGGGCCAGGTGAGGACAGAACCCAGGTCTAAGTGGGCAAGGCAGCCAACAAAAGAAAGAGACCATCTGGGAGGGTCAGCACAGTGCAGGGCGCCAGCACTCCGGAGAAGAAGGCGTGTTCAGTAGCAGCCTGTGCTGCAGGGACGCCAAAGAGGAGCATGAACAAAAAAACAAGAGATCTTTGGGAGCTTTGGGGATAATTATTTTATGGTGGAGTGTATAAGCCAGATTGCCCCTCCATGGGGACATCTGGACCAATCGGTTGATGTGGGGATCCAAAGGCACATCCCTTTGCTTTTACTCCAGAGGATCCTAAAGGCAGTCCTAGCTCCACAGCTTCCCAAGGGATCAGCTGGGGCTTCTGTGGAAATTGCATCTCAGTTCAAGTTTACCTCCTGTCTAATCCCATTTCTTCACTTTCATACAGGTGTTGTTCCACGTGTCTCCCAACAGGACTCCTGCGTGTTCATGCATCTCCATTTCCATTTGCATGCAGGGTCTGTTCCCCAGAAATCCAACCTGAGAATATAGGGTCCCTGAAAAAGGGAGAGTGAAAGATAGAAAAGGTGGGATGGTTCCTAGACTTATTGTGGTGGCCTCTTTGTAAGGTATATAGATGCTGAATCACTATGTTGTACACCTAAACTAATGTAATATTGTATGTTGACTATAATTAAAAATAGTATTTAAAAGGATATAAAGAAAAAAGAAAAGACTTGGTGGATGGTGATAAAGAAGATGACATGAACAGCCACAGGAGCTTTAAGGAGAAAAGCCCAAGTGACAGGGCAGGAGGGAGGCCTGAGCAAGCCCGGAGCACAGGCTTTCCCTCTGACCTTCCTGCAAGACCTCTAATGAAGTGGACCGTTAATGCAGACCTTGACCTCTAATGAAGCAGTTCTAAGAGACAGAGATTGTCAGAAAGAGAGAGGTGGTGTTAAAGAACAAGACAGAAGTGGGAAATGAAAGGAGCGTTATTCTTAGAAGAAGATTGCAGTGGTCCTTCTGAGAGGAAGACATACAGGGTGTAAAAGGACAGTAGAAGAGGAAGGGGGCAGGCCTCCCAGGGAGAAGAACGCTGCAGGCAAGGGAAGGATGAGGATTGTGTGTTCACTGACATTGGTAAAATTAAAACAGGAGTTAGGACAGAGAGGGTTGGAGACTGTCCTGGAGGGGCCTCTAAGCAATATGAAAGGGCAAGTGATACACAAACCGTTGAACCAGGATATCCTGTCTCCAGCACTCCCCTACTGACATGAAACATCTAGAGTAGTGAACTAATAGAAATATGATATGTAGTTTAAATTTTCCAGCAGCCATGTTTAAAATGGTAAAAACAAAAAAAGTGACAGATGAAGTTAATTTTAGTGATACAGTTTATTTAATACACTATATCTAAAACATTATTTCAACATGTATTAATATAAAAGTATTATTAATGAAGTATTTTACACTTTCCTCCTCCTAACCCCCCCTTAGGAGGCGGTGCATTTTATACTCCCAGCACGTCTGAGCTCAGTCACTAACTCCATTCAAACACCTGATCTGTATTTAGATTTCATAACATGTGTGGTTGAAAAAGTAGACTTACACACCTAAGTTCCTGCATGCATATTAATGCTTTCCAATAACCAAATCAAATGGTCATTTTTTTAAATTTAAGTTTATATTAATTAAAATTAATTGAAATAAGTTTAGTCCTTCAGTCACACTTAGCACATCTCAAGTCCTCGATAGCCACATGTGGCAATGGTGGCCACATCAGACCACACAGGTCTGGAATATGAATTCCTAGACTTCTGGATTTTGGTCTTTGTTTTGTCCTCACCTTCTGAAAAAAAACGGCCTCTGGCCACCCACCAAGTGCTGCTCCAACTCATTTTACAGAACACACGTGAAGAAGGTGAGGGTGCACGTTGAAAATCCAACATCTGCGGGAGGGAAGTAGGGTTTTGCTTGGACTAGACGAGCATGAAGAAAATGAGAGACAGGTCGGCAGTGCTCCATCCTGGCTGTTACTCTGTGTTCACATAAACAATGCTGTGGTGTCTTTCCAAGTTGGGCCCTCCAGAGGTTGGATGGATAGTGCCCAAGCCAGCTCTTGTTGCCGTGACCTCCTACTGTAGCAGTCCCCTTGGGCTCTGAGCATAGACTGAATCACAGACACATGGATGTGGCTGCCAGGTCTGGACCTCATTTGCTGCATCTGCAAAATGGGGAAAGCTGTCCCTTGTTTGGGGAATAAATGGGAGACATCAGCGAAAAACCCATTATGAAGCTACAGTGAAGGAGGAGTGTTAGTCCCCAGTTTGGGCCTGGTGCTCCCTGCCCAGCCTGGGGTACACCTGCTCCAGCCGGGTGCTGCCCGCCTCTGCCTTCAGTCCACACTCAGGCACTGTTTGCCTGCCTCACATCTGACAGATCCATTAGTGATGCTGGGGTGATGCAAGGTCTAGGGACTCCTGGAGAGATGTAAAAATAGCAACGACACTTAGACTTTCCACCTTTGCCCCGAAAGGTCCTACATCTCCTACTTGGAGGTATAGGGTAGATCTGGTGGGACCTGAGAGCCTTGCTTCCCAGCAACAGTATCTACAACCATTTCTAGAAACAGAGTCACACAAATGGATGGTCACACACACACTGCCCCCCGACCCCTGCCCTACTGATGAGTATGATCTGGAATTGTTGGTATCCCCAGAGTATATGGCACATTAAGTTAATATTCAGGTTGTACCCTAAACTGTCACAGGTCAGGAAACATAAAATTTGGATTCCTCCATCACCTGAGTATAAGCCTGCCTTTCAAAACAGTGCCCACTCACGACTTAGGAGGGCTGCAAGGAAACAATGGTTCCCAGGACAACTTCTGCTCCTGCTCCCCACACTCTCGCTTGGTTGAGCTGTTGTCTTGATGTGACCCTGACAACTCCTTATACAGGCTCTGAGCCCTTCGCAAGAAAGACAGCAAAGGGCTCAGAGCCTGTATGAGGAGTTGTTCTTGGAGGTGGCAACACCCAGGTAGAAAGCACTCCTCTCCACACACTCATCACACCGCTGTCTGACTCAGCCTATTTTCCCATCTTTGAAGCTGGGAGAAACTCATGAGATTTTTTTCCTACCATCTTAGATAGTGGAAACTGGCCTTGATTTCTTCATCCATGTGAAAAATAGAGCTGAATAGGCTTTGATCAGCACCTTCGCTCTTCCAGAAGGACTGGGGAATGATCAGCTGTTAAATATTGACCAGTTAATATTAGCTTGAATTCAACCTGCATTTAACTATGAACTTAATGACTGAGCTTACTCCTTTTTATAACTATACCTGGTACTTGATAGGGGGTGGCAAAAAAATCGTTGTAAAATGGAACCTTACAGTTTCAGGTATATTTCCCATGCAAGAGATGTTATACCAGAAGTAAGAGTTTTTCAGCTGTGAGCATACATCAATGACACCAAGAACATTAGTTGTACTAATTAGTACTTGAAATAATTATTGATCTTCATTAACAGCATCAAAAGCATTGCTCAGATGTTCAATTGCTCTTCATGCTTTCTTGGCATTCTATATAAAGGACTTTACAGCCTGGTTCTTTTCCAGGAGAACATTATTTAAGGCAAAACACAGAAAACACATTTAGGGTAAAGAAAACCCTAAGTAGGGACAGCTAAGCAAATATATAAATAGCATGCAAAATGACAAGTGTTTACAGCTGGAATTTTTTGGGCATGCGTAGCACACACTGCTGACCTCTCCTCCTCTAAGAAGCTTTCAAGAGCCTGCTTCTGCTTCTGCAGCTGCCACACGGGCTGTGGAGTCCAAGGTCATGTGCCAGGGAGGGAGAGAAGCCTTTGCATAAAAACGTGGTGAATTTTCCGGAGCATCTGTGTTATCTAAGCTTTATATTTTGGGAAT